TTTGGGGACTTCCGCCGTTTTGTGCCGCAAATGGTCCTGCCGGCTCCGTCCCCCTCTTCCGTAGTTGCCTCGTCGATCTTTTCGCCTATTGGTGTGTTCGCTGTCGTTAGCGATGCAGCCCCCGTGAGTTCTGTGCCCGATTGTCCTCCTCCGGCTTCCGTTTCTGCGGAGCCAGACGTCGCCCCGTCGGAACCTCCTCAGCTACCCTTTCGCTTTTGCGTGGCCCTCAAATTTCTTCTCGTACTCGGGCGAGAACGAATTCGGCCTCTGGCATGGCTCACAGCCGTCCCAATTATCTTCCGAAACAACCCATGGGCCGTTGTGGTGCCGCGCGGTGTACGAGAGCCGTGGGTAGCCCTACTTCTGGCCCGCCGCCGTAATCGGCGCCGGCTGAGTTGCCGCCGCCGCCGCCACCCGCACCTGCTGCCGCCACCCCGGCGCCACCGCTGCCCGCGGCGCCCACGCCCCCAGTGTGGTCGCCCGCGGGTACTAGCCCTGAGGCTCCCGTGGTGCCGCCCACGGCCGCTGAGGAAGCTCACCTCCGCGACTGTGTGCATACATTCTCGCATGTCGATTGGGCCCGAACAGATGTCGGAAAGTGAGCGTGTGGCGGCTATACATGCCCGCGAATAGATGTCGAAAAGTGAGCGTGTGGCGGCTATACATTTTTTATCTTTGGGATCCCCGGTGGTTTTGCCGGATGCATTCTGGAATTGCTTGCCCTGTGCGCGACGGCCGGCGTTGTCTCATGTTGTCACCCTCGCATCTAAAACATGCCTGCACACTATAGACGATGGCACGCGATTGTTGGTGCGAAATCCTGCCTCACTACCTGTCGGTAGTTCGGGTGGGCGTATCACTCGCCTGCCGCCTTCGAAGACTCCGCCCATATACGCGCCTCTGCTGTTGCGACCTTGGGTCTTACAAGCATGTCAGGCCACCGCGTCCTTTCACCTGGGCACCGCTCGGACTTTACGTACGTTGGAGCGATTTTTCTGGTGGATTGGGATGAACTTGTTCGTTCGCTGGTGGCTTCGGCATTGTTTAATTTGCCAAGCGCGCAAGACTTCCCGGCAAACGTATCGCTGGCCTACGCTCACTCTGCCCCTCTCGAATGGGCCGGGTAGTGAGCGTCGTTTTTTGGGTCATTGCCGGTCACGTCCCGTGGAAATTCATGTACACTTTTGTGTACGGACCGATTCAGTCGACGGGCGGATATGTATGTCACTACCAAGGCGGGATTTACCGCTAAGGGAACAGCTAACATTTTCGTCAACCGCTACATGGCGTTGTGGGGCTGTCCGGTGACCCTTGTATCGGAAAACGGTATGCAATTGTGTTCCAAGTTGTCCATGGCTATTTACGAGCTGATGAAGATCAAGAAAGTCACCACCAGTTCGTACCACCCCCAAACTAACGGTGGGGCCGAGGACACCATGGCCCAGATGCTCGCTGTTGTGGTCAATGAGCGTCAGGACGATTGGGACGTCCATCTTCCCCATGTCGAGTTTGCATACAACAACTCAGAAAACACCGCCACAGGCTTGGCGCTGAATGAAGTGCATACTGGATGGTTGCCCCGTCTCCCGCTGTTTTGGACCACCCTAGCGTGGGCGGCCATCAAAGTTTGGATCGAGACCAGCTCGCTTTCTGCAATCTCGCGGTGGAACACCAGAGACGAGCCTACGCTTTGGTGCGGGAACAACATGCCATTACGGTGTGGCGTGTCGAACGTCGGAACTCTTCGCTGTTGGACGGTTTTCGTCAGATTCCGAAGTACGACGTTGGTGGTTGGGCTTGGGTCTACAACTCCGCCGCTACTATTCGGCAGGGTGTGCGGAAACACATCGATGATTTGGTGCTCACAGCGAAGCTTTCGCTCAACTATACCGGACCGTATAAGATCCTTGCTGTTGGCCCGGCCAAAGCGGAGGATTCACCGGATGGAAAACCTGTGGAGCGCAAACTTCTCTACCTGGACCTGCCGTCAGACATGCTGGGACCAAATCTCGCAACCGTGTCTCAGTCTTGCGGTGTAAACCGTGTACCAACCCATACGATACGGATGGCCTGCCAAAGTATATGCCGGCCAATCTGTCGGATTATGTTTTGCACTCGTATAGCAATAAGTCTCCCCCGTATAATTTGACTACTCTGACGATTTTGTAGCGGAGTCTAGTCGTCTGGATGTTGAGAATATTTCGGGACACCAAATTGTACGTGGACGAGGTGGTGTGGTAGCCGTTTTGTACGTGACTCATTGGATGGGCTTGTTGACACTGTCGTGGGAAAGGGAGTCCGATTTGCAGGAAGACAGAAAAGACATTTTGCTTTGCTGGTCTACTAACGCTAGTCAGCGCGTACAAGGGAACCGAGCTTATCGTAATGCTCGGATAGCTTCGGCCGACCGAGAACTTGCTCGGAATCAGGCCGAACGTTTCATTGCCCCAGGGTACGAGTTGGTTTCGCGTGACACTTGGTTGGCTCGCTTCTCTGTTTCTGTTTTGCCCGTCGGAGCCCACATTTGGTACAAAGCTTTGGACGAACTTTGGTGGCTTGGGCAGACTAGTAGCTTCGCAACAGGCCAGTACATCGTTCGATTTTTGGACACCCCAGGCCCTAGACAGCTTTCTCTCCCGGAGTGTAGTTACTCCACGGTTTTGGATGCTCCTTGCGGTTCTTGGTGCTTGCAACAACACCGTACTCGTGGTTTGACCAACCCTTCCACGGATAATGAACCTACGTCGCGAACACCAGGCGTTGTGGCACAGCTGGCTGTTGCCCCATCTGGATCTGTGCTTGGATATCATGCCGCCTACGGGTCGCTACATGATTTTTATGTAGTGTTATTTTTTTTCTTACATCGTACGCAGTGGTACGCTAGCGCGCGTTTGGGTGGTGTGAGCTTCTTGTATTGTTGCAATAGTCACCCCGACGTTCCCGTTTCCACCACGACCCCATTCTCGTTTTGATTCAGACTGGTTCCATCGTTGGCGATGTGATTCTCAGTAGTCATCACTGTGTGGTGTGGGGATGGTTTGGAGTATATTATTTGTCGGGGATGAACTATTTTCTGCGATCCTATTTGCTTTTTTTTCTTCTTATTTTTGTCTGATGATATGGAAAGTCGCATCTTCGATCATTATTTGAGGTTGAGTATTGGATTGAAGATAAAGTATCTGCACCTACGACTTCCCAGGGTGGGCTAATAAATGTAATGGAGCAACTAGTGTATGAGCATTGTACGAGCGTTTCATGAACAACGTTGAATGAGCGCTGGATATTCTTGGATACGAATATTCGGCGTCGTTGAGGGGTATTGAAATAGCTTGAAGGAAGATCAAAATCCCAGCCCCGCTCCCTCACTCTCCGAGTGGGCGCTGAGCGGACCTGGTCTAAGAAGGCTATAAGAAGAGATCAAACAACAACTAACTGTGAGTTCCCGAAGCCAGGAGCAACGAACTTGCTCCCTCCCCCTTTTGTTTCTCTGTTCCTCCATAATAATTACTTACACAGTGCTTACAACTATCTCTGGAAGTGAAAGCACCAGAAAACAAATCACGTCATACAATACATAACCACTATACGCGTAGAAAAAGATCATCCTGCCACAAAGGGTGGTAGGTGGGGGACGTTGGGGCGGGGACGGTATGGCGCCTGGCCTCTCTGGCGAAAAGGTAAAAAGCCCATCATCATCAATCACCATCAGCCGAGCAGTCGGATGCCATGCAAACGTGTGTATGTTAAGCAAATAACGTCTGAACAATGTTGCCTAAAATAAACATAACGTGAAGACAAAGCCAAGCAACAGCAGCAGGGTTTGAGTGCTCGACGAAGAAGAAGCACGGACGGCGATGAGCGTTGGAAATGGAAAAAAAGTTTCGATACACCTCTCGATTCGTGCGTGTCATCCTTGCTCCAGGGGCCATGCTAATCTTCTCTGTATCGTTCCAATTTTTACGGATGATGACTTTCGTCATTCCGTCAGACACATGGATTGATCAACATATAAATAACTACACGTACTGCTGTGTTTCAGCTGCGGACAACAACTGCCGCATATCGCATGCGTGTTTGCTTTGTAGCACCGTGTCCACATTATAGCAGTACTCGATGGTCCTTACCTTCTCTACTTGTTTCCTCCCTTTCGAACGGTGGAAATACACATAGCTATTGTGTGATGCCGTCTGTGTGAGGGAAGACATGTGTCGTTGAACGGCACGTAGATAAATAAACTGATGTAGACAACAGCTGTAGGCTACAGAAGCGACAACAGCAGCTCCAAGGTGTACAGCAGTGTCTACTGCTAGTCGGAAACGGATCATCATTCATGCATGTAGTCGTTCTGATTCGTTTCGAGAGCGAGATGTGTAGTGTCGCGGAGGATGCTGCTGTACCAGGCAGAAGGAGACGGCGGGAATCAAAACAAGCGGCGTAACTCACGGATGGATTTTGAGTCAATCATGGGTTGATCCCTCGGTGCTATGCATGCCGTAGCCACCCTGTGCATCTGTTGGGGGTTGGGGAGCCTGTGATATCGGGCTTTGCTCTCTCTTGTGTCATAGCTACTCCCTTCCATAGAACAGCAGCACGCCTAAAAGGCGTCTATTGGACCGGCAACGCTACAGCAGTAGCAGTCGACACTCTTAGTCAAGTCTTGAGAGAGTTTGCCTTTTTTTCGAGGGGGCGGCGGCGTGCATTCTGGTTGGTGCACAGATAGCATGCAGACTAATTGAGCTTTCCGGCCTGCCGAAGGGAGCACGCAAAGGCAAAAACATGCCGTGTAGGCTGCCAAGTCTGTGAAGCTTCCCTGGGCACACTTAGGAACATAGACTACATGATGAGCCGTCTTCCTACTTGAATTGAGTGCAAGGCTGAAATGGACACGAGACATGTACGGCGCACACGTGAGTTTTTCGGTACCTGCTGTGATGTGTACAGCGTAAGTCTCACAGTCACCAGTGACAACACCTAAGATCCTTAGGGACAAGATGCGATCGTGGGGTAAGTGCACGATTTTTCGTAGAAATTGCAGGACTGCAAAACAACCATCAGACACGCCTTGATCGCCCCCATGGACAGAACATGCCTCCATCGTGCTGTGTAACAGATGTAGTCAACTTACTACCGCTACGTAGTAGACTAGACGTGCCTACATACACGACAGCAGCTTTTCAAACTATCAGACACGACAGCAGGGTGAAAGCAGAGTACAATGTGGTGTCACTGGCATGCTTCACAATGTATCACTGCGGAAAGCGCGGTCGATTGTGGCTGCCCTCGCAGTTCCACAGAATCCTCTCCCCACCGGCACGTAGTTGAATCGGGTTGGGCAAAAGAAACATCGTCGGTCTAGCTGACTCTCAACAACAGTGGTGAGATTCGGGAAGGAAGCTAATGCAAGTTTCGGCGCGAACTCATACCCCCACCACCCCCAAATCCTTGCCTCGAAAGGGCGCTGGGATGGGTTCTCAACCGAGCCCCCACCCCCGCCCCGACCAGCCTTTTAACCTACTCGCTACGCTGTCCACCACAGCTTTCTATTTGCTATGATAGGTCCACCCTCTCACACCACACCCGGATGTCACTACAGTCACCCCTTAGATTGTACACCAGCAGCCGCCTTCGCGGCTTCCAAACAGTAAAAACTGAGCGCAAAGAAAGGTGTCAAACGAAACGCAAGACACCCAGCGTTAGCTCCCCTCCTCCCCCCACGCCCCCCGCTGGCCGCACTCAAACGTACAGGCTGCTTGGTGCGTCCTCCAAAGCGCCCATCTCCTTGCCTCCCGTCTCCTCCCCACCGGACACCACCACCGCCGCTCCCGCAACTATGCCGAGCGCCTCCCGCGCACAGGAGAGATTTCTCTGCGCCAGAGCCAAGCGACCGCCTCCGCCGCCGCCGTCAACGCCTAGTTGTTGCCGCACCTGCTGCGGCAAAGCTGTCACTCGTCTGCCGGGGGACTCCGCAGCGGCAAAGCACATGGCCGCCTGGCCGTGCCTTTGGCAGTAGGACACCAGCGCGGCCGGCGCGCCGCTCAGCATCGTTGGCGTTCGTAGAGGTTGGAAACCCACCGACATCTGGGACGCATGTTGATATTGGGGGGGGGGCGGGGGGGGGTATGGGACGCACAGTTTAATAGAGCAAATTACAACGGATGTACACCAAGCGAGTCGTGCGGGAGACGGTAGTTTTGATTCTGAGGAAGTGTAGACATCAACAACTTCGAGCAGGACTACGCCGCGATGCCTACACCGCTGTCGATTGAGGCGTCGGGAAAAGGCGGGCGGCAAGAAAACAAGCACAGACGACCAATTCCGGTATTCCGCTCCCCCTCAAGCCAAATCCCCCTCCGTACGGCGTAGCCAATCTACGCCTTCTGAGAGCTGCTCGCTGCCCACCCACCCTGCTTCCCTATGCAATACATGTAAGACAAGACAGGAACCAACGCCCACCATCCCTCAGATGTGGCCGTCGCCTCTTGTCCTCACGAACGTTCTCGAATGGCCAATGATCCGACGACTACTACCAGGCCAGAATCAACCAACAAGCGAACAACAACGCCTCCCCGGCCACCTTCAAGCAGTCCTCCCTCTCCTCCGCCTCCGCCGTCGCCAAGAGCCTCGCCCCTCGCCACCCCTCGCTCCTGCCCGGCTCCGCTTCGACGGTGGTCAGCGCGACCACCACCTCGGCCTCGATGCCGCCGAGAAGGGCCTTCGCCCAGGAATCCGCCTGCCGAGGGGGCACGCGGTACCCGCAAAGCACGACCAACACGTCGCTACCGCTACCCTCGTGGAAGTCTTTGCTGGCAACGCCACCACCACCACTTCCACCCTCGACTTCGGCGCTGCTTTCGTCGCCGGTCTTCTCTTTCCCGCCGCCGCCGTCTCCGCCGGGGGGGTTTCCATTGGCGTTGCTGCCGTTGCTCAACGGCTCGGCCTCGCCACACCCCTCCCCCTTATCGCAATTCCAGCCTCGGTTGTCCTTCCCCGCCCAGGTCTTGCGGAAGATGTTGCACGCCGAGTTGAGGGGGTCCGTGGGATCGAGGGAATCGCCGATCCCCCCCGTCGTCGACGCCGCGTCCGCGCCAGAGCACGGCGCCCCGGGCAAGACGACGGTGCCGATCCAGTCAGCCTCTTCGGCGGTAAGGCCAAAGCACTTCTGCGCGAAGGATGCCCCGCCTCCCTCGAAACCGACCACAAGGGTCTTGCACTTGACCTTGTGCTTTGAGGGGTAAGGGGGGGGTAACGGCAAGGATCGGTGGGGTACAATTTGTTCGGGTGGGGCAATCTTGAAAAGTTGGGGGGGGGGGGCGCACTCTTTTGCGTGCCTTAGCGGGTAGACCATCGACCATGCGTCCTCGAGAGAGCATTCCACTGTTGTTCCCACAGATCGCGATCACCGATGGCCAATCGTTCCTTCCTACTTTGGAAAAGATGACTCAACAATGTCTTCCCCTTGCCTATCTATCCTATCGCTGGAATCTGAAGAGGACTGTACATTGAACCGGAAGAGATCTGTCTTTCGCTTGGTCTTATCACGACTCCTTGACACTCTTGTACCCGCTAGCGTCCCGCCGGCGGAGAGTTCGGTACCTTCCTGCCTTCCTTCGTCACGTCCTTGTTGCGAGAGGGGGCTGATCCGGGTTGCCTATCCTCCTACACAACTGATTTATGCTTCATGGACCACTTTTCTACAGGAATAGAGGGAGTGCGGTGGTACACCGACACCAGCCGTTGGAGGAACATTGGGGAAATATCAATCCAAGAATCATCAGTTTGCTTGCCGTGGAGCAATCGGCATGTTTTTGTTTTCAACAGGGCATGAACACATCATGGCATCACATCTCCTAAGGTGGCTTGAGGCCAGTTGTGTTGGATATTTTTTCCGATTTTGAATCCGGGGGATTGGCAGAAGATGCTCAACCACCCCCCTAAAAGAAGGAGGTCTGCATGCTGGATAGCAAGCAGAGCGCACTAAGGCCCTTCGTCAGTTCGTCCTCGCATCACAGACCCCTGTTTGTTATCTAGCCGATAAGGCTGTCCACTGCACTGCTGTGAGCTTCTCGGAGCCAAGTATTTGGGCAGCTAGAGTGCAGTGTGCGCAGAGTATGCCTCGGACATGAAAGCAAATTCACTCTTTCCAGCTTGGAATTTGAAACAGTTCCAGTCCGGAATTCATGAGGAATTCCAACCAGGACCAACATTTCCAAGTTAGAATTCCTACTTTACCAAGCATGATGAACACGCATTGCACCCCAGCTCCCTAAACTTGGCTCGAAGGTATGGCTGCAAAAGGGTCTCTGTGACGCGAGTCCTGAGCGCCAAAGCGTGCTTGTGTGCTTTTCCGACGACGTGCGCAGAACTCGTGCTGTCTCACGTGCGTTTGGACGTAAAAGGCGTAAAATCTAGATTCCAAATCGGAAAAATTCTCCATACTTGAAAGAACTGGCCCAACCCCTATAGAAGCCGAATCGAATCCCACGACTAGCTTTTACAGAAGCCGAAATCAAACCATCAGACAAGTGAGCGCTGACTATAATAGTCGAATGGTTTGATTTCGGCTTCTGTACCCCTCGTTGCGTCCTCGGTCGAGGCAAGGAGGGCATATGGATTCAAAGACAAAGACGTGAAGCACACCGAGGCCGCACCTTCTTCTACAACAGTAAAGTGGACGTTTTCTTTCGATCTTCACATATATCTAAAAAGGTTAAAAAGAATCTACATAGTACACACCCGAGAGATGGATGTGGGTCACATCGTTGACGATGCCTCCAAAGTGGTGTGTTCCCATGCCTGAAATACCATCATATCAATGGAGGCAGGCTCATGATGGATGCAGGCCTCGCAACGCCGCTCCAACCCGTAAGCTACGCGTACGGGAGGGTCGAGCTCGTTTGGGTATTCTGCAGACTACACAAGCCGATTCCGATCGCCATCGAAGAAGCACGGCCCGTACAGATGTACGTGCAGTGCAATAGTTCTACAGAGTAGCATGGCGTACTATTTACAGCAGTATGACTTGTCTTGTGAGAGATGGCAACAGTCGCCTTGAATCAGCAGAGAACGGCCCAGAGGAAACAAAAGCAGTAACTGCTGTACATGAATTGCTAACATGCAGCAGCAGCAGCAGAAGCAGCACCAGCAGTACAAGAACAACAGTAGTACCCCCAATCCATGCCGTTGAAACATTCAAAACGCGTACTGTAACCACTCCGCCTCCCCCCCTCCTCCCCTCCCCGGGGGAGGCCGAGGCCCGCAAGTGCAGTTAACCCTCGAAAAACCACCCAACAACGACGGATATACGGTCCCTAGCACCGT